TCTTGGAACCCTTCCCGGAGGGCTTTCGCAGGGTTTTAGCAGGGTTTCGACTGTTTTGAAAGGAAGCCAGTCCCCAGCGAACCCTGGACTTTCTCAGACTACTAATTGACCCCAGAATGGTTTTTTTCCGTCGGATCTGCGAACAATGCGCAGACTGCTTCGTAATTAGATCTTCGGAGCATTATGCGTATCTGCCGTAGGTTCGACAAACAAATTGATGCTGGGGTAAATACATTCTGTAGTGGATCCCCCTACTCGAAACTTGTGGCCGTATCCAATGCCGCAACCAGTGGGCGCAGCTCACGCCGCCCGAAAATGTGTGCCACCTGGTGCGCCGCTCTTCAGGGCCGATGGAAGAATCCCTCAGTGAAATCACTTGGGGGTACTGCTCATCCCAGGGACGGTACGCACCGCACCGGCAGGACCCAGTGGCCACATCAAGTCAGCGCCACCCATGGCGCAACCGATGGGCGGGGCTCTATGCCCACATGCCGCAGACAACAGGGCCACCTGGGGCAGGACGCATTGGCGGGACCCCACGGGCGGGATTCCGTGGACACGCCAGCTCAGCGCAGCGCAACCCGTCGGTGGGACCCCATGGGCGGGATCCGGTGGCCACGGAGATCTGTGCCACCCGGTACCCAGCTCCCCAGAGTGAAGCTAAGAACCCCCAAGTGCAAGCACTGCTTTGCAGAAGTGGGCGGGGGGGGAGGTTGCATGCGGCGCTATATCTCGCAGCGGTGGCGGCGCCGTGAGGATCGCAGTGGTTGTGCGGCCGTTCTCTTTTCATCCCCCGCCGCGTGCCGTTCACACTTCACGAGGTGCTGGAGGAGGACGTGCTCGAAGCGTACAGGCTGGGAGCCCCATTGTCTGTTCTGCCCATCTCGCTCTTTTGCAAAACCATGCAGATCTCTTCACCTGGTCTCATAATGTCCTCCCGTATGCTTATTCCAGACTCTTCGCGTTCATCGCCCGCTCACTCCAGTTTTCGCCGAACGAGGCGAAGACGGCTCCACCACGGGATGAACATGTGCAGAAAATCATACAAGACCCCCCGCGGTTGTGTTTGGTTGTTTTTGCCTGCGCTCCATTGTTGCTTCCAACCAATCGCCTGTTAGGCTCAGTCATGCCGCGTGGCTGATCGATCGTAGATTTGCCGTTTGGTCGTCGTCCCGTCACCAGTACCGACGGATCAGTGATATGGACGTTGGCTCTCTGGCCTCTTGTTTGCGATCCACACCGGGAGGCCAGAAATAGCCCGAACACTGCCCCTTCTTGGGCAGTATGGGGGCCTTTTTGGCGGCCTCTTGGGCCGTCTTGAGGCGATCTTGGAGCTCTCCTGGGCCGTCTTGCAGCCCTCTTGGGCTGTCTTGGGGCCCACCTCTTGGCGACCTCTTGGGCCACCCCGTCCGTCTTCGGTAAAAACCGGCCCGGTTCCAGGCTGTTTTGGCCCCGTTTTGGGGCCCAAGTGGGGCCCCGAATCTTCCAAAGTGGACCCTGGAGCGCGCCCAAAAACGGCGTCCAAATTTGAACGGTGAAAAATACCCCAGACGAGCCCGAAAAGCACTTGTAAGAAGCGTCTGGATCACCCCCGGGGAAGCGAAACTCGTAACAAAAACCATAATATTTGCGATCTTTTTTGAAATGCCAGCTTCTCGGCGAGAGCGGGCCACAAAGGCGCTCTCGAGGGCCCCAGGAGCGGATTTTGGAGGCCAAGAAGGGACCTCGACGGGGCCGAAATGGAGGCAAGACTCGCACAATCTGAAATCGAGCTCGTTTTGGAAGCCGTCTTGGAGGCATCTTGGGGACCGACAAGGGGATTGGGCGCAGCCGGGCGGCGGAAAGGCGGAGGCCTCCAGGGGGGGATTCAGGGGGGGGGACTACAGCACTGTCAGAGCTCTCGTAGTTAAATCGCACACGCCCCTCAGCCCAGTGGGCGGGCGGATTCAAGATGCTTGGGCCATTCCGCCGGCCCCCAGCGAGGATATGTGCGGCCTCCGATTCCGTATGTATTGTTTGCCGCCTTCCGTCGTGCTGCCTGCGTGTAGTTGTTGCTGCTGCGTTCTCTTCGGGGATTCTCGGAGAAAGCAACCATGACTGGTTTTCCATCGGTTTTGGACGGATTTTGGCCTCTTGAGGGTAGGCCACCAGGCTCGGAGGGCACTCGGAGCTGCCTTGGAACGGTCTTCGGGCCTCTTGGAGGCATGCTGTAAGCTGTCTTCGAACCATGGTTGGATATCTTGAGCGATCTTGGAGGCCGTCTTGGGTTCTCTGGGGGCCATCTTGGAGCCATCTTGGGAGATTTTGGACTCTCCACCCCCTCGCGGAACCCCCATCCAGACCCAGAGGGAGGGGGATGGGGTGGGGGGGCGGAGAGACCCCCCTCCCCGAATGGGAAGAAGGGGGTTAGCCGAACGAGCTCGTCAGACCACTCACGCCCAGAGGGCTGGTGGGATTTCAAGCTTCAGGGCCATAAAAGGGTGAGGACGTCTCGGGTGAA